GCCAGGGTTGGTTTTTGTAATCACCTTCAGTTCAGGCAATCTACTGAAAACAACAAAATGCTAAACACAAAGGCAATTGTACACAAAGGCAATTGTACTTCCCATAATATTTAGTGCAGTGGGGAATAGCTTGGGCCCGATATCCCAGAGCCTTTGAGAGCACACTGTAAACTTCTGAAATTGTGATATATCAAGTTACAGTTTCATTTTGTATTTGCAACAGTTTGAAATTCCTAGGACAGCAGTTGCTTTGCATTCCATTGAGATGCATCCTATTTTGAAGACATATGCGTCGTGCTTTTTTTCAAGGAGATTTTGCTTTTATACTTTATGCTTTACCTTCTTCACAGAAAAGATGCTCAGACTGGAATGCGTGCTTGGAAAGCAATCTGAGGGAAACGTTCCAAAATATACAGTACTTAAGCAAAACCAGTCCTCTTAGGGTTTCTGCCGTGGTCAACACATACTTTTAGGAGCGCATATCTTTGTGCAGTTGGGCAATTTTGCTGAGTTCAGTGGGTCTGTTCTTATCCTTAAAGTTACCTTTGCAGACTTAGCTAGCTTGGTCTGCGTTTCTAATGCTTTAAGGATGAAGGCTTCTCTGGGCTTATCTTTGCCAAAGTACATTATAGCTTCAATGCTGGTCTTCAGTCAGATCTGCTCTCACACTACACACCTTCAATGCTGTGTTACTCCTTTTATCTTAATTTTAAATTCGCCAGTCTTTGGCAGGGCTTAACCTATAGCTCAAGATAGCACTGCTCATCAGTTGCTAAGATAGATCTTGTATTCTGTACATTTTCAGCGCTATTTCATAGTGTGCTTACTCATGCTCAAGCTAGGCTAACTCAAGAGGGCAAAGATTATTGGTCCTGTTATTCTGAGTGTGGATAACTTCAAGCTAAGAGAAAACCATAGCCTTCAAGATGGATGAAGGAGACGTTTAGCAAACAGCATGTTGTTTTATGTGTGTTTGCATATGGTCATAAATGAAAGTTGTTATTTGGTACTGGTTTCAGCTTACTGGATTTCATCAAGATTAATTTTTGATAGTTTTTATTTTTTAATGGAAAAGTAGTGAATCCTACTTACATGGCAGGACAGCTGGTTTGCCAAGGCTGTAAGTGGAAGGTGAACATGCACCCACTTGTAGGGGTGGGGGAGAGGCAGGCAGGACCTGAACATGTGCTGCTCGTGTGCTGAGCTGCCAGGCTGCCTTCGTAAGAGATGTGCAGGGAAGTAGAGGAGTGGGCCGTTGTAATTCCTACAAAGCATTTTATTAATTATACAGTCAAAATTTATGAGTTCCTAACCCCATCAAACACTATCAATAAAGTCATGTCTTCAAATGGGTATTTTGCATGTAAATGGAAAACTGTATTCATTTTAACAATTTAATCATTTTCTGTGTGTGTTATCATGGATGAGCAAGCTGTCAACTGCTATGTGACATTCACCCTGAAACTCTGCTTTGGCTCTGTCTTCCCTCCTGATCCCAGTTAATGTGAAAACAGGAAAAAAAAAAAACAGAGAATAAATGGAGGGACCAGTAGCAGGAGTGACTGGTACCGCTGTTAAGAGACACTGTTATTTTCTGTACCTAGACTAATAGGCAGTGCATATTTAGAATAAACTAGATTCTGTTTGGCTTCACTGCAAACACACGGCAGATCTTTCATTTCATTTCTCCCCAAAGCACTCTAAACCTCAGATAAATCATCCTGAGTCAGCATTCACGGCTCAGATAAAAAGAAGTCCTTCTTCCTCTTTCTTCTCTTGCTTGCACATTGATATGCCTGCTGTGATGCTGCAATCAGACTTGCGCAGGCACCCCCCGCCCCGGGTCTCTAAAGCAGCACGATTACTTCAGTGAGTCTCTGGGCAGCCCTGAGTGTCTGTCCACCTACATGAGGTCCCCCTGCCTGCCCTGTCTCGTTGCTTTGATGGAACAAAGAGCCGACAGGCTCAGTTTGTTGTGATAACCCACAGACAATCCAGACATGAACTCTGACTAAGAAAACTTAATAAGCTTGTGTTAGCATATCTACTGCAACTACGGCAGACTCCTCTGCCTCGCCGCTGGGGAATAAGCACTATTAGCCAGAGCCTCAGGTTGGAGCCCTCTATCTAGACCACAGGCTTCTGCTTTACATTGAGCCAAATGGATATGAATGGTAGCTGAATGCAAGAACATTTGCCATCATCCCTGTAATTCCTACCCTCATGACATCTGTTTTGCTTTTTTCCAAATAAAAGCCTGATTCTGGTCTTGTGGCAAGGTGAATCAGAGTCATCCCACAGCATTCAGGGGAATTGCGCTTTCCGAAGCACCTCAGGATTGCACTTGGACTCTGGTTGGAGAGGCAGCTCTTCCAGCAGGGATGGTTTAAAACTACTCCGTTACACAAGAAGGTAATGTTAAGAAAAACAGGCACAGTCGGAAAACAAAAAGGAGGCACATCAAACATCACAGGAAGGGCAGAGCCCTAGTCATAGTTCTGCCATGCATGGCAGAGCTGGACAGAACAGATTTGCAGCATGTTCAGCTGCTTCCTTGAAATGCTAGAACAAGTCAGTAGGCAACATTAGTATGTCCCTGCCAGGAAAGTGGATGTGACCATTAACACAGGGGCACAATGTAAAAAGAGTTAGCTGTGTGTGCTTTGTATTAGGAGGTCAGAGCTGATGCTGGTACCAGCATTGCTGGCTCTGAAAAATGAGGAGTAGCAAAGAGAGATAAGAGATCACTTTTAACTCAGGCAAAATTTGGAAGTCTGTTCCTGGGAAAGACAATGGCCAAGAGCTTAAAAAGTATCTTTGGAAGTACTTAGTGCCTAAATCCTTTTGTTCTGGGCTTGAGTGACACTTGGAATATACCTTCACATCTAAGCAAGTGGAAGGCTCGTTTACCAGGAGGGGCTGTGGACTTTGCAGGGACTCTGTCTGCCTTTAACAGATCTTAACAGTCCACCACTGTGTCTCATCTCTCTTCAGCTTCACAGCTGCTCTTGCCCTTTCATTGCTTCTCTCTAGCATCACTGACAAGAATCACCCTTAGCATTTCAATCTTTTGGAGTCTTCTCAAAGTATGTGTCTCTCTCATTGCCGCAATCCTTTAGCTATGGTAATTGGTCGGTTCTTGCTTTTCCTTCTGTTAAATTCTGATTCTTCTTTTGACAGGGCAGTTTCATCTAGTGCCTAATTGCAGCACATTTGAAAGCACTTCAGGCGGGCATTAGAACAGGTCTAAAATAACTTCTACTTGCTGGTGTTTGCAAGGCTTCATTTGTTCTGGCATGGACTTATTTGATGGGTTACAGTTTGAGTAGCAATGCAAGTATGATAGGCATCACAGGATGCACTGTTCAAATCTCAGGCCATTTTAGTATAAAGGGGCTTTATAGAGATCTTTGTCTGTCTGACTTGACTTTGCTCTCTTTATCTTCCATAGAGTGATCTGAGATGCCAAAGAATGCATTGGAAATAAAAGCCCTCTAGACTAGGTTTTTCAGATGGATAGCAAGATAGAACTTTCTCATCCATTTTAAAGCGTTAGTTTGGTTAATAAACATTGGTTTCTGCTAGACTGCTGCACTCAGAAATCAATGGGACAAGATGTGATTGTTTGCAAAGTCAGCAGAGAAATAGACACTCATGAATGAAACTAGACATTGCTTTGTTACTTGAAAATCCAAAAACTAGGCAATCAAAAATTTTTGTTTTGTTTTCATTCAAGCACCAACTTGGCAGACATGCTGAAGCTGTTTACATATAAGTTTCAATGAATGTTGTTATGGAGATTTCTTTAAATGGTTTTATCTTGTTTTTAAAATAAAATCTGCATGATCATTCTGCATCCCTTCCCTGCTGGCATGAAGTTTTGTTCTTGCTGCCAAGAGAGTCAGCTAATAGCTTCATTCAAGCTTGCTGGCTTTGGCTTTTGTTTTTGATTTCTCCTATCCCTTCCACTCCTGCTATCTCCTAGGGGAGACACTGCAGGAGTTGTCAGCTACAGAAATCAACTTTTTTTTTCTCCCCAGCCATCTCTCTGATTGTACTAAACTGAGCAGGGAAATGAAACCAGTTTGTTTTCTTTCTTCTGTCTGTTCTTTCTCCTAACAATCCACATGCTCCTGCCTCAACTTCCTTACTGCTGCCATCAGGCCAGTGACATGCTTTCTCTCCCTTGCTTTGCCGTAGGCACTAACTTGGCGACTCACATGGCAGATGGTTTCCATATGGCATAGGCTTTGTCAGCTTGGTGTATTTTCAGCTGTTGCACTGCTCTCATTTGTGGTACTGGTATTATAAAGCAGATAACATGTGTATGACCATCAGTACTGTAGCAGACACAGTGACTAACCATTCTACCAGCTAGTCACTGCTGCTATTGTCTAGCCCTTTACCGCTCCTAGAGTAAGTGCATGAGTGGCGGATGTAAGCTAGGACATGCTTAGCGCAGACGTTTTGTCCTCTCTAGTGTTCTTACTGCTTGAGCCATCTTAAAAGGGTATTATGGAAAGGAATAAGTGTTGGTATACTGGTACTCAGTGCCAGTGTACCTGTAGAACTTGGGTGTCAAAGTGCTTTTTGTGCTATGATTTAAAAAAAAAAAAAAAAAAAGACTTGAGCTGGGCTGTGCAGAGGCTGCCTAATACTTGTCCTTTGGATATAAGAGCCAGTATCAGTAAGGAGACCGTAAAACATAGCCAGACTCTACTAGCACAGATCTAACCTGCTGCTGCGGCCCTTCAGCATACCCATACATGCTGAGACCTAAGGCAAGTGAAGCAACCACAAGCTCTGGAAGCTCTAGGGTATGTGTGGCCCCTGAGGATCAACTCCTGGTGTCAGGTACCTAGGTGCATGTAAGGCTCTGACTTGTGGTGAGTACATCACATCCCACCTTCAGGCAGCCCTAACATCCATGGCCTCTCTGGGGTCTCTCTCTGTTTTCTTCCGTGTGTGCTAATGCAATAAGACAATTTCTGCATTTGTAGGTTCACAGAGACGGAGGATTATTCCAGCTTTATCACTTGATACAGCTTCCCCAGCCAGGAAGCCTGCCAATAGCCCTGGGATCCGCTGGGTGGATGGACCTCTGAGAAGTGGACAGAGGGGGCTGGGTGAGCCCTTTGAGATCAAAGTCTATGAGATAGATGATGTGGAGCGACTTCAACGGCGACGAGGTGGGGACAGCAAGGTGAGTGCAGTTCATGTCATCTCTCTCCTTCCTCTTGGGACAAGGTATTCAGATCATGCGGTCAGAAGTGTGCACTATTATGTACGACTAATTCAATAAGCAGCAAAACCTGTACCTCATTTAAGAGCAGTTGCAACTCAAGTCATGCCTTCTTCAGTGGGAGCTCACACAGTCTGATCCCTGGTATTTTTGCCCTTGATGGCCTTGATATCTCGGTGGTTCCTGTGCTCCAGCATCTCTCATCACATCTCTCTTTCAAGGCAGCAGTGATGCTTCAAGTGCTTTGATGATACCGTTCTCAGGATAGCTTATTTATTCTCATTAACAGATTTGTTTCTGCAGACCTCCCCCCTCCCTTAAAAAATTAGTGAATTGTAAAGGTCAGCTCTTGAGAGGTGTGATTGGGGAGGGTATCTGAAGTTGGCAGGATAGCACCAATTTTGCAGTGACTGTGTATATAGCTTTTAAAATTATCATATTAAGGCATTTTCCTTCCTGGCCTCTGTCGCTTGGTGTGGCTGTTTGTGATGTTGTCTGATATGGTTTTGTCTGGAGAAAAACTTCAGTTGGTGGGGTAGAGGTGGTTTCTACCGTGCTCCCCCCACCCAGTAGATCTGTTTACAGAGCAGAAGGCAGAGTAACGTTGAGACCCTCACACAGACTTGGAGGAGGCTAGTTCTGCTACTGGGACTGCTCCCAGTCTAGCCAGGGTAGCACAGATCTCACCGTAGGTTCACTTTTTGCATCTCTTGATGGCTGCCGTGACTCAGAAGTCATATAAAGTCAGTCTGGGTTTCTCTGGACAACACAGCAGCCTATCCTGCTACTGTGCTCCAAATCTTTGCAGAAAATACATCTTTGTTATTAATGATTATTAATTGCTAGAGCTTTTCACAGAAACATACTCCTTTTGCTTAAGGCTGTTTTAAATTTAATAGTGCTACCAGTTCTCTTATTTAATAATATGACTACTGCATTTCTTATATACAAAGCACAGAGATGTACTTAGGATTTTAATATAGCAAGCAATGGATTTCCTTCTCCCAAGCGCTTAGTTCTTTCTCAGCCAAAACTTCTGGTGACAAATAACAGAAATGTTTTTCTAGAGCTAATCTGATTTCAAGATGTTGTCTGTTATTAATTATTATGGTTTATTATTAACTATCGCTGCAAAGTCTCCAAAGCTCACTGACGAGAAACATCAAAATCAAACAAAAGCAATAAATATAAAACAGATGATAGATGGTTTTTGTGCAGTGATTCATATGCTTCCAGAGTAAATAGCTCATTGTTGGTATTATTGATTAGAAGATCATTTGGCTCACTGAATCTCGCATGGGTATTTCTTCTCCTCTTCACCTCTTCCTTCCCTGCTCCTTTCTCCTGGTTGGCAGGAGGTGATGTGTTTCAATGCCAAGCTGAAAATCCTGGAGCATCGCCAGCAGAGAATTGCTGAGGTCAAGGCCAAGTATGAGTGGTTAATGAGAGAACTGGAGGTGACCAAACAGTACCTGATGCTGGATCCGAATAAATGGCTCAGTGAATGTAAGGATGTTGTTTTATTGCCTGGACTCATAGGTGTCCTTTGGTTTACTTCACTGGGGATAGCGAGGGGAGCAGAAACGTTTGCTCAGAATGAGATGTGAGCTACTCTCCTGCTTGTAAACTAAAAAGAACTGACATATGACCTAAGGGCAAGATTTAGATTTACTGTATTTTTAGAACTATTTCCTATAATTCTTATTAAACGTTAACAGTAGAGCTGAACAATCCTTTTTGCCCGAGAGCTGAATGTTGAAATGGTGCAGCACTGTAGTGGTGAATATTGCCACTGGTAGATTAACGCTCAAGCGTTTCAGTCCACAGCTCCTGAAAATGAGTTTGGGTTTGTTTGTTTGTTTTTTTTTTTGGCCTCAGATCACTCAGACATATGAGCAATATTATAAATCTGCTCTGCTACCACAAAATAACACTGTGGAGCAAATTTGTCCATTGGCACCAGTGGGCTTACATGAAGAATAAATTTGGCCCATTTTTTATAAATATAGACACGTAAAGTTCAGAGAGATTAAAGGGCATTCACATCCAAATGAAGAAGGACCGCAACACCTGGAAGGAAAAAGATAAAGAGAATTGCAGCAATTTGTACAGTAATTTTTAATATTAGCAAGCAGGTGAGTGAATATTGAAGAGTTCTAGAAAAATTGAGGTTTCAATATATTTTGGATAAGTCTACCTGCAGGCAGTAAAAGGAGGATGGCTGCTATGTTCTCTTAACACATCCTAAATCTTCCTTTGACAGCTGCCACAAATAAGTTAACACTCCATTGATCTGTCTTAGAAAACAACCACGGTGTGTGTTTCAGGAACGCTATTAAGGAACACAGGTAAAAAGGACAAATTTAAAGGGAGCAGAGAATGTTACGGTCCAGTTTGTTCGATGCCTTTGCTCCCCACTCAGATGGGAAAAGTGCAGGGAGCTGCAAGGACAGCGCAGACCGCAGAGCCCAGGAGAGAGGACCAGAAGTAGTGGCAAAGGCTGTGTAGTGCAAACCCAGGGCCCATGGGAGCTGCTGACAGCTGTTCTCTGGCTGCATGTGGGAACCTAAGCTGGAGTGATTTCTATGTACTCCTTCCCGTACTACTCTTGAGCGGGCTAGTGAGAACCACTTAAAATAGGGCGAGTGGAAGGAGGTTGGGGGGTGGTTTCTGGTTCTCAGTTCTGAATTCAGCAAAGGACTTGTTCTCACAGGGCAAAGTGCAAGTTTAAATCTCTTTCTGTTCAGCAGAACGAATGCAATAGAGTCAGTGCATCTTATACACGTGCCCTGAATAGGGGTAAATTGAAGTATGAGCTTAGCGTTAACAAGTTGCTTAAGCGTGGTGCTGAAGCAGGCCCTGAATGTAGACACTCAAAATCAATGTAAACTTTGATTTTAACTTACCCTGATTTACACTTCACTGCTGAATTTTCCCATCACGTCCAACCATGTGTTGTTGTGGGACCAAAGATTAAAATGAAGCCTGCAGGTGCTTCATGCCAGTTTATATGCCGAGAGCTGCATGGTTGCTGGAAGAATAGTTCTGGGGCTTTTGTGAGGGAACAAATATGTGGCAGTGTGGTAAAAGGCATCTGCAGTTTAGGAGAGGATGGTAGAGCACATCACTCAAGAAAGGATCCAATGCAGTGTTAACAGGATTTTTCAGTATCAGCAAGCTACTGTGTCATTTTAATAGCCATTGAATAGAAAAGGCAACTTTCAATGACAGTGGCAAGCCAGAGATAATGTTGTATACGGTACCAATGGGCTTGAAGGCTTGAGTTAAGCCTCTCACAGCACCCAGAACTGGTTTTGATTGCTTTTTCTGTCTGCATATGTTCTTTCCCACAGTTGACCTGGAGCAGGTATTTGAGCTGGATTCTCTGGAATACCTAGAGGCCCTGGAATGTGTGACCGAACGTTTGGAAAATCGTGTCAACTTCTGTAAGGCCCACCTCATGATGATCACCTGTTTTGACATCACTTCTAGACGCCGATAGAGAACGAACCTCAAGAGAATTTCAACACAAATCTCTGCCATCCTCCTTTTTCCTTCTGATTAGCATCCCAAAGACAACAGAATGAGGATGAAGGTTTGAGTCAAGTCTCAGTTGTGTGTATGAGAGATTTGCTTTATTATTCTGAAGAGCAGTTTAAAAAAAAAAAAAAAAAGGATGAGCATGAAAAAATGGAGATACAAGGATGTTGATTCTCTTAGAGTAAAAGAGCACTTTGAGGAACCTTTAAGGATATGTCTGTAAATAAACTGCTGGCAGAAGAGATTTCTTTCCCAAAAAAAACGAGCTGAGGGAGGAGGAAAGGTGGTTGTAGGACTTCCACTGAGAGGTTCATTAAAAAAAAAAAAAAAACCTACCCAGAAAGACTGCTTAAGTGCCTTGCAAATCTTTATTATCCAAACATTTATGTTCATACTTTCTTGTGTACAGATGGTGCTAGTCGAGAAAAGAAAAAGGAAAAAACAAACACACTTTTGAAATGTATTTACGGCTTGTTTTTCTCTTGGTGTTTTCTCCTATTTCAGACTTGCTGTTTCTAAGTAACTTGTGTTTGTAGAGATATTTCCTAATCAGTACAACATATGAATAAATGTTAACTGTCCTTTATTGTTACCAGAGTAAGGCCACTCAAAGAGAAATTTAACTTTCCCAGATGACCTCAGAAATGTTCGTAGCTGTGAGGGAGGTCTGATTATGTGCTCTTCTGTACTATTTTATATTGGAGGACACAAAAATTTTCCCAACCTGTAGATTCTGCAATGTATGAGAGAAGCGAGGGGAGATTACTCTAAAGTGAGTCTCTTTTCCATTTGATCCATCCCCATGATTTGTTTTCTTTTTCATCTGTTTTTAGCTTTGTACTAGCTAGAGTTCTGGATGAGAGGGCACTTTTATCCTAGCCCTTTCTCTGGTGCTAATAACTTGCTAGAAAATTACTCTTTAGGCTGAGGGTTCCCATGCTATCAGTCCAAAAATGAGTGATTTATTCTTTCTTTCTTTCTTGAGAATATGACTGATAACATTTAATTTTACCTGTTTTTGACTAATACCACTTCAAAACATGTTTCAGCAGCTTTTGTTCCCTGTCCCAGTCTGTCCATAGTCATAGCCATATGAGAAGTGCATGCTCTGTTCAGTTCTAGCTAGTCCAGAAATAAACGTGGAATGTGAGTGAGTGGACACGGCACATCAGGCACCTTGGCTGTGACAGTTCCCTTATCAACCCTGTCTTATTGAAGCCATGGCAAAATTCTCCTTAGCGTCAAAAGTGCAAGGTTCTGGGCCTTGATGCACATCCAGATGTTCTTGTTTGTGTCTTTATCTATGTAACAAACAGTATGTGGGAAGAACATCCTTTGTGTTACGTAAAGAAATGTGTGAAATTTGCGTTCCTATTGTGTGTGAGCATACACAATTATTTTGTGGTGTGGGTTTCTTCTTCTTTTATATTGCAGTAAGCCCATTCACAAAAATTCCTCTCTCATACACGTGTGCAACCCTGTTGCTTATGTGAAACTAAAAGAGCATCATTTAACACATATTCAATGTGCATCAATTTACTATTCTTAAACACAGCTCTTGCTTTACCTGCAGCACCACATTAATGCCATATTACAATATCCCAAGCTGCAACTCCCAGTGGAAAAAAATACGAAAATACTGTTAGGTTCTTCTAGTGGTTACCTGGAAAACATGCAAAATCAGATAGAAATAACTTTTATATAGTTTTATTTTAATACCCTAAAATACATAATAACAAATCTTATTTCTTCTATCAATCAGCCTTGTCACTGGATTTTGTAGAAGATCCATTATATGTGTTATAGGATTATTTGGCAGGGGAAGGAAAAAGTCCCATATGAAAGTTGTTTTCTGTTCCATTCTACAGTATTTTCCTGTCAGGAAACTTGCTCATATTCCAGGTCAGTATTAAAAGACATAGGTCTGCTCTCCCTTCCCTTCCCTCTCAAGGCAAAAAAAAATTATTTTTATTTTTCAAGGAATATATTTCTCTAGATTTGTTTCTTCTTGCAATGATTTCAATGGACTTGGTTGTATGTCAATTCTGTTGAGCCCATCTCTTCGCCACAGAGCCCCATGAATTTAATAGATAGCTGCACAGAGCCACGGGAATTGCCAGTGGAGTTTGATGGTGGCTGAAGATCTAGCATCCTTGGGGTACAGAGTCCATCCTTCTTTGTGGGCTTAGTCCCCTGGAGCCCCAGGTACACAACCGTCGAGTCACACACCCGCAAGGGAGAGGCTCACAGCAGCTGGCTCCCATCTCTCACTTGCCTGCGTCCCCAGGAAGGCTCCTGCACAGGAAATCAAATGTTGCCTTCCTTAACCTCAAGCAGTTCTGAAAGTGTGTTTATTAGAAAGTGTCCTTGGGAATAATTGGATGCATAGTCCTTCCTCTGCTGAAAATAAGCAGCCCAAAATGGGTATGTTGTGTGCATTGGGGAGCTACGGTGAGATGGTAAATGGAAAATGGTACAGTAAAAGCAAACAGATACCTGATAGAAACAAAGTGAAATCCCAGCAAATGGTGCGTGCACAGAACACATTTTTAACAAGAATTGCTCTCTTACATATTCTGAGACTTACACAGATGCGGTAATGTTTCTGTAAATCAAAGGGGCAAATTTTACAAAACAGTAAATTATCTGTTACTTACAGTATTCATCAGCATCATTTCAGGCTCAACTATTCAACGTCTCTAGATTTCATACTTCTGTAGATTATAACAAAAAGGTGTCTGTCTAGCTATTACTTTAAACAATAAGAGCATGTGCTTTTGTGCTTGTCATGTTTATCATGATGAACCGAAATTTATCTGTGAAACCAAATGGATTGCATCAAGGATGAATTCGGCATACTCAGAATGAAGTATTGACTGAGCATAACTGAGCATAAGTCCTTACAAATATTTTATTTCTGAGGACTTAATTATACTGGCCATTGACACTCCCAGCATATACCAGTATTCACATCCTAAAAGGTATAGGATAGGACCTTTTCTTTTGTGACCTTCTGTCAGTGTATTTTAAAACTTGCCACTGTATCTTTGAGAAATGTTATGGCTTAACGCATAAAAGGGAATGAAAATTTACCGAGACTTAACATCTGTGAAAAGTCTTCCTGGTGAATATAGCTTTTTTCTTTTGGAATTTGTATTTTTATACTTCAGATATACGCAAAACAGGTAATTAAAAGCATGGTGACCTTGTTAGGAAATTGCCCTTAGCCTACAGAAGCCAGCATTTTCCAGAAGACCCATACAGATAGGCAAGTAATCCAGGAAGGCCCATTCTTTAGCGATTGCCAGTGCAATGCTATTTTTATCTTGATTTTTTTTTTAAAGGCATTAAGTTACCCAGAATATACAGGAGCAACTTGAATGGAACGCTTCATCACTTGCATATTCAGAAGTCAATCTTATTTCCCTGGAACAGATTTAGTAGTAAACAACAACGTTAACGTAATTAGGTTTGAAGGTTAAGTCTTTGTTCACATGTATACCAGATCATCACAGGACTCTATTATCAGGTTGTTTAATGACTGAAGAATGTCATCCATAAGGCTGCATTACCACAGGCATGTTCAGGTCTAGGCAGCTATAACAGTTTGAGCCTAATTCTGGAAACTGCTCACCTTGATGTACTTGATCCTTATTTATACTACGGACAGAACCTGTTTTATACTGTGATCTGAATTCAGACATTGCTCTGGTCTCTGCAAGCTCTAGGAGTGGGCAGAAAGCCCATGGTCACCAACCAGACCGCTCTGGGAGGGCTGGGTCGCTTCATTTCATACAGAATATTGGAGATCCCTAATTCCTTGTGCATTTTTCATAACTACATGTGTCTTCTCTTATACCATGCATGTGTTGGATTTGCTTCAAAATGAGCTGTAGTCAATTCATTCAGATCTAAGCAAGCAGAAGTATTATTTCAGGGAAACGCAAGCAGACAGATACAAAAACTGCCCTTTCTTAGCTCTCTGCTAGGCCTGGCCTGGTTCTTACCTCACCTGCACTAAGACTCAATTGCATTAGAGTCAGGAGAGTTACAGCAGGGTACACCCAGTTGTGAGGAAGAGCAAAAGTTAATCCAGTTGCCATGTGTTTAGCTATATACTGTGTGGCCGGTTATACAGCTGAAGAATATTTTCCTCTCATCTGTGTGCACCCCTTCATTTTGTCTAAAGGCTGTGTACAGTGCTACCACTCAGCATTTGCAGGCTTGGACCCATGGTCGCAGAACGCTGAATATCCTACAACATAACTTCCCAAACTTGCAGCTACACAAAATGCCAGTTGGCGAAGAGCAATGGCATGATCCTCTGACACCAAGCAAGCCAAGAGAGAGATGAAGGATGAAAAAAGGATGAAGGGTACACAAAGATATTTTTTTCTTTCATTTCTGAACGTGGGAATTACAGTGGCAGAAAGCTGGGCGTGATGCTGGGAGTAATGCACATCAAGTCCCAAGCATGCTCACAGTGATAAATCAGTCCTCCTTAAAGCATTGGGTTTTTTGTTCTGTTTTTTTCATTTATCTCAAAAGCATGATTTCTCTTAAAATAACTGTTATCCATAGGCTGGAATTCAAAGTTTATGACAGCTGAAGGATACGGACCCTTTTACAAACCTTTCTGATTTTGTGTCATCTTTTTTTTTTTTTTTAGGGAAGTAAAAGTAATCATGAAGGGTTGTGTAGACATGCCAGCAGATGCATATGTACATAGCCTGAGAGAAACCCCCCTCCACACACATACACACATTTATGTGAGGAAGCGGCATAGCTGCCTGCTCACAAGCTGTAACAGCATCACCTCCCCCTTCCCCAAAGAGTACCTATAAAGCATTACTCCTGTCACTCACCAAGATGAAGCTGCTTTATTCCACACGGTATGAAAAGCTTACACTTGCAACATTTTGAAGGGTTCTTTAAAAGGTCCTTTTTTGCCCCCTACATCTTCAGCCTATAAAGCCAAGTTGCTGCAGTTGCCATGTAGAGGCTGTCACTTACTGAACTGTTAAAGCCTGTAAAAGTAATCCAAACTAGCTACTCTCTATGTCACATCATGAATTTAAGGTAAGATATCTTAAAACAACCACTGTTAAATACAACAAACTGTATCTATGTATGAGACATACACCCTAGTCATGCCAATTGAAAGCCCGGACTCTTAGCGCCCTGCGAGATAAAGCCTTCTGCCTAGTCCTGATAGTTACAAAAAATGTACCTTTAAGTTTCTGAGTTGCAGAGGACTGCCTAACGCAAATATGATTCTCATATAAACTGGAGATTTTGTGACCCTCTGATGGGCAGCTTGTATGAGAGGGATGGTCAGACAGTGTCAGGGATGCACCAGATCACTGCAGACATCAAAGTGTTCCTATCACTGCACACTGATAGGAGTAAGTGATAGCTGTAGAGAGGGGCACTATTTCACAGAGCCACTGATGGGTGACATGCCTGCTTAATCCTGATGGCCTCCTCGTCTTTGTTTTGTTACTCCGTAGGTTTTTGCACTGGCAACACCCAGCAGTTTTTGGAGACACAAGGCTGGATGTTGCTAGCTATTGCGAGATTTGGAACAGGTTTCCAAATAACTATGGCAAACAAAACTGTGAATGATTTGTCAATGCAGAGTTAATAATCTCTGTCTCTTGCATTTATTGTGCGCTCATTACAGGGTTATCTGAGCTTCCATACACACTCTTGGAAATAATAAACCATTTTATTATTGGCTTTATCTTTTCTTCTTTCTCCTTCTCAAGCAAAGTTTAAAAAAAAAAAGAAAAATCAGTTTCCCTTAACGGTGTGGCACCCTTATCTTGACCCTATTTAAGTCAATATGGATTTTGCCACCGACTCCACTGACCGCAGACTCAAGTTCATTTATGCAACGTTTTGGAGCTCATAAAGGGGAGATGATGATTTTATTCTTTTGAGAATGAGGGTGCTGAAAATGAAATAGTAGCTTTCATTTATACTATTTCAAACCACCCTCAAAACACTCCCAGACAGGAGAAAAAAAGAAAAAAAGAACCCCGCTAACCTTCTGCCTTTGAGTGGTCCTACTTAAGTAGTGAGCTTACTTTATAATAATGGTAATAAAATGGTGCTTGAGGCAGTTTCAGCTATATTACATATACTCTATATACTATAGATATGGATGTATTCACCCTCTATATTGTATATGTATGTGTGTGAATAGTTACATGTAGCACACATACATATATGTTTTATGTATGCATAGATATTAACTTTTCTAAGTTTTACGTCTTTCCCTCCCATAGCTGAAACTGCTGGTAACTAACATCCACATCATATTCTATGTATGAAGGATATAATTTATTTGTAAACTCAGGATGTTCTTGTTTTATAGAGTTGCTTGTATTTTATAATTTATTTACACATCATGATTGGAAATGCTTATCTAAGTGCTATGCATTGAAGTGTATGTTTGCTAAATCCGTTTCATTCTCTCTGTGGCTATGTTCTTTCTCATTATAACAGTGGTATAAAATAGGGCTAGGGAGGAGACAAACTGCTGGATGCAGAACTTCTGCTGGTCCTACCAATGGGTCATTCCAGAAGGGGATGTATCAGTGGTAGATACATATATTTTATCAACTAAATTTTATGGAAAAAACATGGACAGAACAGCATGAGGACAAGTTAAAATGTGGAAAGTCACAGCCACTTCCAAGCTGATCAACAAATGCATTAAGCCTTTTGCCATTAAAATTGTAAAGTTTATTGTTTGCTGGCTAAAAAAATATCCCTTTTGTGGTATCTGAGGTGTGAAACATTGTCAAAAATATGATGTCTGGAAAAAAAATCAAACTATAGTGGCATTAAATGTTTACTTTTATCTTACTGATACTTCTGCTTCCCCCTCCTGACTATTTCACTTTGAATTAAAACATTTATGAAGTGGCAGAGAAGATGGCACTTTTGACCCACAAGATGACGTACTGTTATAATTGTGAGCGTGAGTAAGATCACACTTGAAAGTAAAACAAGGGGTTCTAGCAAGCAAGTATTGCTGGAAAGCGCATTCACCAGAAAACAACAGTAAGGAATTGCAGGGTTCGATAGCAAGGACAGAAATGTTGCAACCTAGCATCACAGCATCACCTTCTCCCCTGCTGCTGTCCAGAAGCAGAAAGAAAACACAGTCACAGAGCCTGAACTAGTCCTGTTTTTACATAAGTTGGTTAGGCCTACGTGTCTCCTCATGTTAGCAGGGATTGCTCAATCAGCATCTGTGCACAGGGGAACAAA